CACCCATGTTAATATCCAGACGCAGTGCTTGCTGGAATAATTTGTCATTTGTCCACTTTCCATTAAAGATACTTATGGCTGCCGCCATTTCCGCTTAATTTTCCTGAGGGGGAACGGACCCCGAGGATGTTCTGGGGGCCGCGTAAACCGGGCTCGGGGGGCCGCGGGGGCCGTGGGATCCTCGGGCGTCGGGGGCCTCTGGGGGCCTTGCAGATCATTTCTTCGTGTCCTCCTCCTCCTCCCTGCTTCCTCCCTCCCTTTCTCCTCCTCGCTCCCTCTCCTCCCTCCTTCCTTCCTCCCTCCCTTATCCTCTCTCTCCTTCGCCGTCCCTCCTGGGGCCTCTTCCTTCTCCTCCTCCTCCACCTTCCTTCGTCCCCATTCCGATGCGTTGCTTTGCGTTTTTCGCAGGGGTGGCGTGGCCTCCGCACCCTCGTTGCTCAGCACCTCGAGTGGAGCACGCACTTTTTATTATTTTCAGTGTTCGGTGCCCACGCGATGGCACCGCCAGCCAGGGCCCCTCACCCAACGATGGCGCCAGAGATGCCGTCGCCGTCGTCGCTGTCCGATGCGCTCGCCATGTTCCCTAGCGGCGACGGCGACATCCAGGACTCCTACGGCGGCGACGGTGACGGCTACGACGCGGAGGCGAACAGCCAGCAGCCCGCCAGCTTCGAGGAGCCAACCATTCCAGCTGCCGCGGATGCTGCGCCTGAGATGCCCGTGCTCCCGAAGGTCCCGTCGCCACAGCAGCAGCTGCTGCAGCAGCAGAAGCAGCAGGCTATGGATATGGCTATGCAGCCGAAGGTTCACGTGAGCGCGGTGGAGAAGGAGAAGTACGACGCAGCAGTGGTGGCGAGTGCAGCGAGGACCGCAGGCCAGCAGCAGTTCCCCATCGAGCACCAGAAGAAGAGGATGATGACCATTAAGCCTAAGCAGAGTTCGGTTCGGAGCAGCGGTGCAGCTGCAGCGGCTGCCAGCAGCAGCGACAACACCAGCCCACAGGGAAAGCAGCAGCCGCTCCACAAGACCCCCAACGCCGACGAGAGCAAGTCCGAGGCAGTGGCGATCGAGACACCGCCTCGCTCGAGGTCTCCACCGGCGCGCACGCGCAAGACCAAGACCGTGGCAGAGGAGCTCTACATGGTGGCGACGTCGGAATGGGATGCATGGGAGGACGCCCCGCTAGGCATCAGGCAGGGCTTCGTCGACAAGCTGAGCAGCAGGTTCCCGATTAACTTCAAAGACCTGAATCCTGCACAAACCACTTACAAGATCACGATGGAGGTGAAGAGCGGCTCCAAGACGACCGTGACATTATTCAGCCACGCGCACCATGAGCAGCATCCGTCTGGCACCAGTGGTCAGCGACTGCAGCACCAGTTGTTGAAGATATCAGGTCCAGTGACTGCACCAGTGGCTGCAACACCAGCATGAGCAACATCAGTGGCTGCAGCGCCAGTTGTTCCAGATGAGGGCCGTGACAGGAGGTCGCTGCCGCTCCACTCGAATTGTATGTGCGCATGCAATTGAGGTGTGAAAAGTTGCGTCTTCGCATGATTGTATGTCTTCTGTTCCTGAGCTGCGCTCCTTCCCTGCCGACCCAAACGAGGCCCAACGAACAATCAGACCAAACCTGCCAGATACCAAGGATCAGCATGTAAGCAACCCCACCAGATAGCAGTGAACCGACTACCATACAGCAGAGAATGATGCCTACCAGACAGCAAAACCCAACACATATGGACAGCAATCGGGTCCGCGTGCTTGAGATTGCCAACCCGCGCGCTCCGCCCCTCTCCCCCCATGGCGCACGCGCCACGAGATGAGCCGTGAGTCCCCCCCCCCCCCTCTTCCGAGAGGAAGAAAAACGCCCGCGTGGTTTCCCCTTCACTTCCTCTCATCTCCTCCCCCTCGTCCGCATCATCCCCCTCCTTCTCCTCTCCCTCCCCTCCTCCTCCTCCTCCTCCTCCACCTCCTCCTCCTCCTCCTCCTCCTCCTCCTCCTCCTCCTCCTCCTCCTCCTCCCCCCCCTGATGCCATGTGCGGCCCGTCAGGCAAGCCCGCCCGTGACTCTGAGACTCTGAGGGGTCCCACATCAGCCACGCACCCAGATATGATGATGAATGGCCGCTCGGCCCTCTCACTCTGATTTTAAGGCTCTTAGGGCTCTAGGGCTCCTGGGACTCTCGGGCTCTTAGGGCTCTTAGGGCTCTTTGGGCTCTTTGGGCTCGTAGGGCCCTTAGGGCTCTTAGGGCCCTTAGGGCTCTCAGGGCGTTTAGGGCTCTCAGGGCCCTGAGGGCTCTTAGGGCTCTTTGGGCTCTTAGGGCCCTTAGGACTCTTAGGGCTTATGGCTCTGAGGGCTGTGAAGGCTCTCAGGGGTCTCAGGGCTCTTCGGGCTCTTCGGGCTCTTAGGGCTCTTAGGGCTCTTTGGGCTCTTTGGGCTCTTGAGACTCTTAGGACCCTTATGACTCTTAGGGCTCTTAGGGCTCTCAGGGCTCTCAGGGCTCTCAGGGCTCTTAGGGCTCTTAGGGCTCTTAGGGCTCTTGAGGTTCTGAGGGCTCTTAGGGCTCTTAGGGCTCTTAGGGCTCTTGAGTCTGAGGGCTCTTAGGGCTCTTAGGGCTCTTGGGGCTCTTGGGGCTCTTAGTGGTCTTATGTATCCCTACCCTCCTCCCCATTCTCCTCCTCCTCCCCCTCATCCTCCTCCTCCACAGCCTGCCATGGTTTAGCCCTCATCGGGGTTCTTTGGCTATCTTGGGCCAAGCCTTGGGGCGCTCTGGGTCCGTCTCGGCCGCGTGCTGGGCCGTCTCTGGTCTTGGGGCTCTCGTGGGTAACCTTGGGCTTCGCTTGGGGGCCTCATGCGCTGTGTTGGGGCGGTGTTGTGGGCCTTCGGCGTCTTGGAACGTCGGAAAGCCGAGAAGGCGAGAACGCAACCATTTTTTAACATATTCAAGCGCATGAGTGGTTTTGGCATCCGTGTGCCTTCTTCGGGGGGCTCATGGAGCCTCTTGGAGGCCCCTCGGGCCTTCGTCGGTGTATCTTGGGGTTCTCGTTGGCGCTCCTTACAGGGGCCTACTGTAGCCTCTTGGATGCCTCGTAGGGCAGAGGGCGCGACGTTTTACGCTCGGTGGCCACGATCGGTGTGAGGGGCATCACTAGTGAGAAGCCCAAAATTCACGAGGTGTCCCGAGAGGAGGCCCAGTGTATTTAAGGCCTTCCCACCCGAACCCCTGGATGACTCCTCATGGCTGAGGACTGAGGCTGCGGACAGAAAATTAGGATTGAGGCTTGAGGGCAGAGGTCTGGTGGCTGAGGATGAGGCCCTAAGGCCCTGGGGCGACTTGGCATGAGAATGCAGTCTGCGCTGCGCAATGCGCATGGTTTGCAGGCGCGTTGTTGCCCGTGGGATTTAGCGTTGCCGTCTCCGTTGGTTTTATTGGAAGTATGTTTCTCGGTCAGTCCCAGGGATGTCGCAATGAGGGTGCGTGGAAAGTGATTGCCAACAGTTGTCAATTGTTTGCTTCAACTCATCGTCACCGTGGGGGCTTCGGATCAAGTTTCAGGCCACTCACATTTTTCCACGACAGTATGACTTGTCGGTGCTGAGTGCTTGCCCAGCACGTCCATCAGGGCTTAGCCATTGCGTCGCTTGACGGTCATGAAATCTTCTGGCGGCTGCAGAGGCAAGGGCGGGAAGCTTGGCGCCAAGAGCAAGGGCAAGGACAACGTGCTGCTTGCTGCCAGGGACGATGACATCATGAGCTCCATGGGCGGCGGCAGCGCGGTGAACGTCAAGCCTGAGACGACGCCCGCCGCGAAGTCGCGCCGTGTGTCAGGAGCTTCGTCGGCAGCGGCAGTGGTGATTTCTCCAGCATCGGCGAAGACCCCGCAGAAGGCCATCATCGATGCCAAGCCCTGCTTGACGAACGCCGGCGTGGAGGCCTACACAGACGAGCTCCTCGAGGCCCCTCATAAGTGTGGTCGTACTGAGTGCCCCAACACCCTGGCCAAAGCTGATAACAACGACGAGTTCAATTGCAAGGTGTGGGGTAATTACAGCTTCGAGTGGAAGAAGGTGGGGAAAAACGACTGGAAGGAGGTCCTCTGGGAACGATGTTCTTTGGCGCGCTTTCGTTTTTTTGTTCGATGGACCCTTTGGTCCCAGAGCGGGTTGTCGGCTCAGGTTGGCCGCCGCAAAGGACGAACGACGCCGTTTTGATATTCCAGTTGGGTCGCTTCGGCGGCTCATCTACACAGGTTTGCGGGGTCTGGTCAGGGGTGAAGTTCAGGATCATGAGCCTTGGGCTTCGAAGGTCGAACGTTTCCAGTGTATTGTTTTTGGAGCTCGCAGGGGGCGCCAGGGCCGTTGTTTTCGACCTGCCCCTCCCCTCGCCGTCGGAGGTCTACTTCCCAGCTGGGCCAGCGTGTTGGGTTTGCGGGCCTGTGTGCGACTCCATTGCTTTCATCGGGAACCCTGGGGCGGTGATCGCCAAGTGCAACGAGGACCAGGCTTTTTCGGAGGTGTTCTGCTCAGCTTTGCGGTCTCGCCAGCACCGCGCGTTCTTCTTTCCCAGCGACGTTTACCGCAGCCAGTCGTTCTTCACCAGGGTGCTGAAGCGCAAGCGTGGGCTCACCGCGTCAGAATTCGAGGACGATGGGTTTGAACGTGTAAGTTGAGCGTTTCCTTCTGGTTTTGAGATGGGTTTGAACGGGGTAAGTTGAGCGTTTCCTTCTGGTTTTGAGAAACCCATCTTGGGGCCATCCCTTTCTGAATGTTGCAGCTTCGGCCTTTTCGGAAGCATTCTCGGGCCTGGGTTCCAGGGTCGGGCATTGAGCAGGGTTGGTTTGGCGGTGGAGGTCGAGGGCCTCGGGGGGAGTTGCAGGTTGGATGGCGATGGGGGCGGCGGACATGGAGGAGGAGGACGCCGATGGAAGCGCGATCGTTGGATCCATGGGGGGGGGGGGGGGCTGCGCCACTACTTGCGTTTCCCCGCTGCCGCTGAGGACCATTTCAAGCAGAGCCACGAGGTCGAGGGCTTCAAGCTATCGCTGATCGACAACCCCGACGACCCGACCAGCAAGATGCAGGTGGTTCTGGTCAACGATACCGAGCGGCTCGCCGACGACGTCGGCGTCATCGTTGAGTGCGGCGTCTCGCGCTCCACGACCGAGGACGAGTATAGGCTGATGGCGGACAACCAGTTGGTGGCGTCCCAGGGCAAGGGCTTCTTTGCCGAGATGGTTCGCCCGAGTGGGCAGGAGGATGCCCAGTGCAAGCGATGCCGCCTGCAGGACATCAGCTACGACGCTTGCGTCCCCAGGCCCGTGCTTTCTCCCGCTGGCGATGGCGAGCCAGCCGACGGCGCGGAAGCCGCCGAGGATGGCGGTGATTTGCCACTGTCCCAGGAGGAGCAGCAAGCTAAGCAGCCTGCCAAGTACGGCTACTGGACCAAGCTTACCAAGGGAAGGTGGGGCTTTGTGGCGACTGTGGCCTGTTGCAGAGCCGATGACGAAGACAATAAAGATGACGAGGGCGATGCCGCTTCCACGGTGTCGGGTGGCGCTGGTGGTCAGCCCAAGCTTGGGGAGAACTTCGAGAGCATGTTGCAGGAGAAGCTCAGGGCCATCAATCTCACCACCATCGCGAGTGGACAGAACAACCTTGGGCACAAGAGGGCGCGTCTGAAGGCCAGGAGAGACACGTTCAGCGGGTCATCCAACCAGGTCGAGATCGATGCCGCGGGGCTCATCACGAAGCGCCTCGACTTGGCAGTGTACGCAGAGGACTTGTCGAAACCAGAGTTGCTGCACACGTTGCCTCCAGATGTGTTCGAGACAAAGATGACAGCGTTAGTTTCGACGGGCATGGTGATACCAGTTTCGCTTGCAGTCGAGATCGGCAACCGCGCGGCATCAGCCTTGGGGGCAGAGATCGCGAGCGGCAACTCGGATGACATCGTGGGGTTCTTCAAGATCGTATTGCCGACGGCGCTGGTGTCGGTTGAGGGCGAGGAGCAGCTGCAGTGTCCCGAGGGCGAGCTTGGCTTTGATTGGCGGGACCCGTGCGGGTACCAGATCCCTGGCGATGCAGCGGCGAAGGTGGTCAGGTTTGAGAGCGCGACCTTCTCCTATTTGTTGTGCCCGCTGCTGCGGAGCTGGTCCACGTCACGAACTACAGAGCAGTTCATCGGCATGTGTCAGAAGATCGACCAAGTATTGATCAACTCAATGGGGGAGGACGTCGATGAGGCGATTCAGTTGAGCGTGAACTCCGCGGTGGAGTGTTTGCGGGCAGCCCAGTACGTCATGGACCCCGACCCGTTGAACTTCAAGTTCGCGGCCGACTTCGACGCGCTGTCGGCGGCCGAGCCGCCCTCCGACGGTCAGTGGAAGGGCCTGAGGTTCTACTTCAACGAGCGGATGTGCGAGACGGCCGCCTTCGCCAACAACGTGGTGTCCATCAAGAAGACCAAGGTGAATTGGGCGAACTTGTCACGTGGGCGGGCCCGAGGTTCTGGAACGGGTGGCCCCGAGTCTGACGGTTGGGCTGGATGGATCTCCGTAGGGCGGCGGTGACGGGGTGCACGAGGGGTGAATTGTGGGGTTGGCTGGGGAGGAAGAGCAGGATGGCATGGTGGACCTTCGGCGGGGGTGGAGGATAAGGACACGACTGGGTGACCATGAGGCGGCCTTCGGGCGGCGTGGGCGGCATTCACGGGGAGAGTGGGCGGGTCGCCCAGGTGACCCACCCGCTCAGCGTGGACAAGATCAGGCTTGCCACGATGGTCCTTGAGGACCAGGCCGGCCCGATAGAAGTCATGCCTAAGCTTGAGGAGCGCATCAAGAACATGGCAACGTTGAGGAAGAACTCGCGAGAGGGTGCCACCAAGGTGCTCGAGGTGAAGCTCATGGCCTACCTGGAGGCGTTGGCTGTCAAGGTCTCTGGACTGAATCGATATCCCTCCGCCGCCCCCTTCACCAATTGTGGCTTTATGTGAGTCCTTCTGCGCGTGGGGCTCTGTTGGGTCATGCGAGACATCGAACAGGCGTGCTCTCGGGTGCGCGCCAGGAGTGCGAGGATATCTTAAGGAGTGTATCGATGGTTGTCGTTGTGGTTGTGCCGATGTGCGTTCCGACAGCCGTTCTTAGGGTAAACCGTTGTGGTGCAGACAGGTTGATAGTGAGATCGTTACATCGATAGAGAAGTAATTCGGTCGCTGCACTGATCGGTGGCTAACAGAAGTCTTCTTGCAGCGATGCCGATACATAGCTCCTGGGATTTACTGGTGGCGATCTCGCTAGGTGAATGTGGTGGGGTTGTCTTGGGAGTTGTCCCCGATGGATTTCCGATGCTGTGGCGCTGGTCCCGATGGTTGACCCGACGATTGGCCCGTGTTGTTTCCCCGACGGTGGCCGCCATTGGACTTGATTGATGCCGTTTGTTCTTGGTGATGCTGGCCTGCCCCCCCCAGTTGGGCGCCCCCCTGAGCTCTCCCGAGCGGTGCGCAACTAGGGAGATCGACGCGTAGATTCGTAGTGAGGCAGGCCCGCAGCAACCCCGACGGAAGCGTGGTGTTGTCGGGAAATTTGTGTTTGCGCATCAAGGTGAAAGTGATCTCGGACGCTTGGAGGGCCAACACAGTGGAGCCTTCGGAGTTTCCCTCCCGCATCGAGGTGTTGAAATCTGTGCAGCGGTTTTTGGGGATCGCGCAGGACTGCGGTTGTTTCAGGCTTACCCCGACCATCACCAGTGCCATTGAGTCTTGCAAAGAGATCGGGCGTCTCATGTGCGTCGAGGTGTCCAAAGCAGGATTCGGCAGCATCATCAGTTCGATACGGCCCGAAGAGTTGATGAACCAAGAGCCCAGGGATAGTTTCATCGGAAAGGTTACCGATATCATGCGCGTGGCAGATCTAGAGAATCCATTCCCAGCGAACGTCCAGGAGGCAGCAGTCAATCTCTTGCAGGGCGTGTACCAGAAGATGATCGACAATGCAGATAACCTTTCAGACGATACGGTCGGCCTCGTCGGACACGTGATGCAGCTATTGCACCCGAGCTCTACCCAGGGGCGTGACTGGAGTGTTGCGCACCGCTTGCTGGGCACAATCGTTGAGACGAAGACGGCCCATCGCAAGTACATCGCGTCTGGTGCTGACCTCGCAGCTCGGATCGCCAACGGTGACCCCGACGGCATGGCGTTGAAGCTCCTTTACAGCAGTCGCAAGGCGATCGAGGCGCAGTTCAGGCAGCTCCCACCGTCCTTCCAGCAAGCAGACTTGATCACGGACCTTCTGACGATCACCGAGCAGACGATCAAGGCCGATGCCCTCGAGCGCTACCTCCTTGCGAAGGCCGCCGCCAACGCGGTGTGGACTAAGCCATTCGACGACGGCGACGAGAACCAGAGGAGCCTTGAGACGGCTCACGGCGGCACCTTCGACGGCTCGGATTGGCGTGGCTTGCTTGTCGGCGATAACACGTTCGCGGCCCTCCACAAGCATGCGCAGAAGACGCTCCTCACGCTGAACCCAGCGAAATTCAAGCAGCAGGCGAATGAGTTCAAGGCGGCTTTCGACAAGGCCAAGACAGAACGGGAAGCTTTCGACACGAGCCCAGACACTGCGTGGGAAGCCGCGCTCGAGGTCAAGCTGAAGAAGGCGTTCACGACCAGTAAGGAAGCGACGATCATCGGCGTTATGGCATTGTTGAAGGACAAGAACAAGCTGCAGCAGAAATGTCGCTCGGAGCGTAACTCAGGCAACAGCAGCAAGCCCAACAGCTACCAGGACGCGCACCCATGGGTCAAGAAGCACGTGGAGGACGCCATCAACTTGATGCCCTTGCAGGGCTAGGAGATATTCGCGCAGCGGGGTCTCCCCTCGGGAGCCGCAGGCCCATGGAACGATACGTAGGAAGAGGACGGGGGGAGGAGAAGGGGGAGGAGAAGGAGAAGGGGGAGGAGTGGGAGGAGGGGGAGGAATGGGAGGAGGAGGGAGGAGGGGACGAGGGGGAGAAGGGGGAGGAGGGGGAAGAGGGAGAGGAAAGGAGCGATGACGTAACAATCATGGGCCTGTGGCAACCGCTGGGCCGACACCGCTGCCGAGTGGTTGTTGGTTGTTGGCTGCTGCGCCTGGAGCGCGCGGAGTGGCCTTGACAAATATTGATGGAGAGCGAGGTGGATTTCAGGGCTCTTCGCCCTCGTCCTCCTGCTCCTCCCCCTCCTCTTCTTTCTCCTCCTCCTCCAGCCGCTTTGCTTTTTTCCGTCGGGGTTGGCTGCGTTGGAGTCGGGTTGTTAGTTTTGCGCGTGGGGGGCTACGGAATGGGGGGGTTGGGTAAGGGGCAAGTGGCAGGACTTGGTAGGGTTGTTCAGTGATCGTGTGTTGGCGTGGGGCGGTCTGGTTACGGCTGGGGTTGTGGCGGTGGGGTTTGGCGCGCCGCTTCGTTGGGGGGTGCGTGGGTTTGGGGTTTGGGGCTAAGGTGTTGGTGCCAGGGTGCGCGTTAAGGGTTGGTTCGGGTGGCTCGGGGGGGTGGCGTTTGTGTCCGGGCCCCCGAAATCCGGGTGGCTCGGGGGGGTGGCGTTTGTGTCCGGGCCCCCGAAATCCCTCCGCCCTCCTCCCACGCTCATCCCTCCCTTTCTGCTCCTCCTTGTCCTCGTCAGGTACCTGCCCCTCCTCCTCGTGCGCCCCCTTATCATCGTCAGCTCCCTGCGTTGTGCTCGAGTTCAGTTGCTCATCCTTCTCCTGCTTGCCAGTTTATTCCATTGGCTTACGCCATCCAGCCGACCCCCAGGATGACCGAGAACCCGCGACGCCGTAGCAAATTATCTAATGGCCTTCGGCCGAAACCGCCGCCGTGCGTGGACTGTGGGTTACGGACATCGGACGTGTGCGGAGATCTCGGGGTGATCTGTTGGGGGCATCTTCGGATGTTCTTGGCTGCGCACTTGGGAGTTCGGTTGCTTCCTGGGGCATCTTGGGCGCCGCATGGGGGATCTCTCGAACTAACTCTGGGCCTCGTTGGGTGCGCGTCGGGTGCCTAAAGGCCACTCGGTGTTATTTCGATGGGAAACGTTATCATATCACGTCGGCGCTCTTTTTCCCAACCCCCCATTGGGACCTGCTTCGGAAGTCATGCGGGCCTTCTGGATGGGCGTTCGGTGGAGCTCACCGTTGGGCCAGTGTGGGCTTGGTCGGCGCGCCGACGCGATCGGTTATGACGCGTGCTATTCCTGCCAGTGGGGCCTTGGGTGGACCCCTCCGTCGGGCCACGAAACGCGTGAGAAGGGCGCCGACGCGAGCGGAGGGCGCGCGCGCGAACCCCGTCCACTGCGGGCAACGGTGGAGCTCTCCGTTGGGCCACGAAACGCATGATGCGCGTGCTGGAATGGCTGCGGAGATGCGCAATCCCCGCTACTAGAGGCTTCGGGGGTGGGCTTTTGTTGAGGCGGCCAGGCCAGCGTAGGGCCATCACAAATTCATGGCGTTCGCCAGTGCGGACCCTGCCATCGAGGCCTTTGGTCGGCGCCACCCTCGCAGGGCCCCGAAACGCGCGACGCGTTCGACGACCCGCGAACACTATGGCAACCAGTTTCTTGAAAACACAGTTCGGCCATGTGATCCGCGGGGCGTTGCTTAGGATTTGGTTCGGGATGCGTCTGAATGCGGCAAAAAATGCCATTGGCCTTCGCCAGTGAAACACTAGCGTGCGAATCGAGCAAGGCGGTGCGCCGCGAGCGGGGTAATGCATCGCCGTGCCATTGCAACGAATCGAGAAGGCGACGGGGCAAGATGAGGTGGAGATGTATGCGTGGGGTAGCGCCGTGCAGCCCTAGCCTTGGCGTGGTGTACGTTGTTGCCCCATGTTTGCTCTCCCCCTTGTAATGCCACACCGCCTTATCTCATCATTGCTTGCATGGCTTCTCCAATGCGTTATCGCGATCGGGACGCACCGCTTTGCGCCGCTCGCGCGACGTGTTTTTCTTGGTGGGCTGCTGAGCATTTTTTTTTGTATTTTCGCATGCAATCCAAAACCAATTCAAAAGCAATTTACCAGGATCGCCCCGACGGAGGTGTTATAGAGTGAAAAGTTTTCTCAAGACTGCCGCTCCCACACTGGCTCGCAGTATCCTACTTACGAGGAGGCCATGCTGGCGACGGGCATGTTTGCCAAGGACGACGAGGCCGCCCGGGTCTTCCAAGAACTCATGGAATTACGGTACACGGCCCACCAGCTACGTTTCGCTGTTGTTGTGCTCCTCGACCTCGATGCTAAGCCGACGACGTTGTACAACGCATTCGAGAAGCACCTGATGAAAGACTTTCTCGACCGAGGGATGACGCCGTCTACTGCTGCGGCGGAATTGAAGCGATGCTTACGCCTGGCTGCGGCTGCGCAGGACCGTGCCGACGCGTTGGCCTTCTTGGACGTGCCCGTACCCATAGCATCAACGAGCAGGCAGTCCACCGACAGCACTCCTCCTAGAACAGCCACGGCGACCACCCCAATTTTCCACGCACTGCAGGCTCGCGTGCGCAGCGACTCAGAGCAGCGCGCGGCCACCACGACAATCACTAGACACATCACCGCCAATGCCTCCAAGTTCGTCTTCGTCCACGGCGCCGCCGGCACGGGCAAGTCCACGGTGGCCCAATACGTGCATTACTACGCGGAATCTCTCGGCAAGTCCTGCGTCAACGTGGCCACGACAGGCCAGGCCGCCCTTCTCTTACCTCATGGCGCCACGGCCCACTCCACGTTCAAGATACCTCTGGGAGACGAGGATCCATTGACGTGCAATCTGGGCT